TTCTCACAGAATCAGCCCATGAAAAGACAAGTGTTAAATTGAGCGAAATGAGGAATGGCTAAAATGCATGATCCGTTTGGTATTTTGAAAAATAAAAAGTATAAATATGCCTTATATAGGTATGGTCCTACACTATATTATTCAAATATAGCATGATAGGTCCACTTTCATATCAAATCGGTCGGTGACGCAGAGATCAGGGAACAGACGTGACAGCGACACCAAACACGGAGCAGTCTGCTTTATCCACCAACACAAGAACACCAGTCCAGAACCAACAGCAGAAGAACCCGCTCTGAATCAGTCCGTGTCGCTGCGGCTCAGACACACAGGGATTTATGTTTTAAAAAAATACTCTCGTTACAATCATGTTAGGTTTTTGGTGGATTTAGTTAAGTCTTGGATTGCAGAGTATGAATGTCCTCTTGCTATTTTCAGACGATAAATACGTGTGTAAAGTTTGTGAAGGCAGGAGGAAAAAGCTTCTGTGATCACAGTCTCCTCTGTTCCTCCAAACCCCCCCCCTCCCTGAAAATAATGAGTGACAGGCTGATAGTAACCTGATAGAAACGTTATTATTCACTTAATCACTGATTGAGATATGATGAAGCTAACTGAATCTCCCACAATCATGGGATGTATGTAACAGTAAGACAGAGAATGTAAGTGTGCACCCACATGCAGTATTTTAGTTTTTATATTGCTGTTGTAAATACTCCTGTCATATTTGTGATGCCACATTCAGGACATTCAGTGTCCTTTTTTTAACAGAAGACCGTTGCTAGAAGCTGCAGCTAGACTACAGAAGCATTAGTTTTTTGTTTTTGAGGACGGAACAATTTCACACACAGATACTGTATAGCGATGAATCGAATCGTGAGACCAGTGACGATGCACAGCCCTAATAGTAATAACAGTTATTGTCTACCAGGAAATCATTCATTTACTCTAGCTTATAAAGATGATATCCTGCAATTATTATATTCATTTCTTGTTTTCTGGGACTCTTCTGTTTTCCATGATAGCAGTAGGAAGTTTAAATTACATTTTACACTAAATGATGAATATCACAAGAAACTATGCATACCACTTTCCTCTTCCTGGTGCTGTTTGGAATTCTTTCTTTCCGGTAAAGTGCTTCGTGTTAAATATATATTTCAAGGGGAAAATATACAGACTTTCAGTTTACACTAAGCTTTATCCAGTGCAGTGTAATAAAAAAGTCCTGCTCTAAACCCTACTGTCATGAAGGTTATAATGTTTAGTTTTTATAGAGATGAAGATTAAACGTCATGGTCATTTTTCCGGCTGTAGTATGTCGTGTTTGTTAAGTTTAATATTTTCTTCCCTCTCTCTGTTTTCAGGATAAACACCATGATGCTGCTAATGAAATCATCGAGACCATTCGGTAAGTGACCTTTCTCCCGTCTCACTCAACCCCCACATGAACAGCCAGTGAGTGACTGACGATGATGATGATCTAATTATGTTTGTATGTGTGTGCTTTCTGTAGGTGGGTGTGTGAGGAGATCCCAGACCTCAAACTCGCCATGGAAAACTACGTACTCATTGACTACGACACAAAATGGTCAGTCTAAGGTCACATAAACGGTTTGTGTTGCTATGACTGTGATTTAAAAAGAAAAGAAAACTGGGAAACATACTAAAGGTACCACTTCATCCAGTCAGGCTAGCAGCTTACCTAACAGCTGTTCGAGTATGTCAATCTAAATATATCTAATATCTTAATAGTCGGTTTTCTTATTCGTCTGTTGGATTTCTATCAAAATTACAATCTTAAAGTGTCAGTAAAAGTAAATATCTCTGCCACCAATGACACAATTATTAGTATTTTTAGAAACATATGAGTGAATCACTGAAATTGGTGTTGGACTGGGATTTTGGAGTTCGTCTTGTACAAAATGATGGTATTAATTGTGTTTTGTTATTCTCACAGCTTCGAGAGTATGCAGAGACTTTGTGACAAGTACAACAGGGCCATCGACAGCTTCCACCAGCTGGTGAGTCCGTATGTGTGAAAGGCCTTCAGTGCTCTGTAGGTGAAACATTAGTCACTGAAAGTGAACCACGCTGTGTGTGTGTGTGTGTACGGCGAGTCTATCACAGCTTTGAATCATTGCTGCATATGACCTTCCACTGTCTTACAATAAATACTTTTAATGATCACTCTTGCTACAATATTTGTGTCACAAATTATCTCATTTATGGAATCTTTTTAAAACAAAACAAATCAAGTGTATTCATTTGTCTTTGTCCTTGAAAGGCCAGCCCCACTGCACAATATGTGACTCTGATGTGTGGGAAAATTATGGATTGTTTCGAGTGTGTGAATATGTAAGGGACAATGTCCGTTGTTACTGTTTGAACTATGTAGCAACGGCAGGAACTGCTTCGATAGCGTTTTCTTGCGAACCTTTTTGATAACAGATTTGAAAACATTGTTGCTTGCTTTAAAAGTAGCACAATTCATAATCTCAAACCTTGGAAAGTATCTACATGTCCCTGCCCTGATGCCAAAGTAACTGGCAACTGAATATGTTTTGCCGTTTGATGTTTATGTCTGGACTGTTGCGTAAAAAGGAGGGTTTCTGCCCCGTTATTCTCCGCTGTTTTCTGTCCCTCTTGTCTTGTCGGTTT